AACCACCTCAAGTGACAAGGTTCCTAAGCAAGAAAAGAAGAAGTAAGGAGGAAGAGAGCTTCCCTCCCATTTCTCCTTTTGTAAGGAAAGCAACTGTTTCTCAGAAACCCCCCCAGCAAGCCTCCCCTTATGTCTTTTTGGACAAAACTGGATTCTGCAGCCAGAGGGCCTGTAAAAAGTGAAACTGTCATGCTCAGTCTCTGTTTTGGAATTGGGCTTTTCCAATAGGCAAGAACGAGCAAAATGTTTGTTGGATAGGCTGTTGGAACAGACACTACTTGAGAGCATTCTAAGCACTTCATGTCGATTAGTCCAACAGATCTTCACATGGGGTAGGTGTGATCATTACCATTTTACAGAGAAGCAAACTCCACTTGGAGACAGTAACAGAGCAAAGCAGTGCAGAAGCCCAGATTCGAACTCCATCGCCTGACTCCAGAGGCTGCACTCCTAACTCCACGTTACACTGCTCTGGGCCTGTAGTGTCTGCCACAGCAGGTAATCTGCCAGGCTGCTTCTAGAATCTAACACATGAAAGGACTGAGCAGTGCTTGTCTCCCTCTGAAGTGCAAATGTGACATTTCCCCTGGCTGCTGTCATGTATGGGTGAGAAGAGCAGAGAGGCTTCCCAGAGCGACAAGAATTGCTTCCTGTCATCATCAAGGCTGCAACAGCTGGGGCTGTGATCAGGGCAAGGGCTGGGGCCAGGAGAGTCCACGTCATGGCCGGGGCCACTGATGGAGTCCGTGACCCACCGGGCTTCCACAGGTAGCAGACAGTCTGGGCGAGTCAGGGTGAGTGATTGAAGAGTCCAGCTCCAACAGGCAGGGTTAGAATAGAACGGTTTCTAAGTTACAGGGATGTTATACAGGCCACTTCCACTCTCACTTTTCAATGAGAAGAATGAGTCCCCAAGAGGGCAGTGTAATTTGTCCAAGGTCCTCCAGCTAGTTTTATGCTGGGGGCGAAGTCCTCAAGGACACCTTCTCTGGCTGTCCCTTGCAAAAAGCATCCCTCCCACTTTATATGTGCTTCTGTTATCATTTCTGTTACACTGCTGCATTTATTCATGTGTGCCTGGGTCTCCCCCATCACTCTGGAAGGGTCTGGGTAGTGAGCCCACAGCCAACCCTGGACCCTAATCTTGCTTGAGCTGCCTGCCAGCTGAGTGACCTAAAGTCGTATAACTTCTCAATACTCATTCTCCTTCCTCTACAAAATGGCAGAAACAGTAATTCCGACTCACAGTGCTGTTGAGACAATTAAGTTTTAAGCTGCACGTAGCACTGTATGCCGGACAGATCCGGGGTTTGGTAAGGCGCAGTTATTAATTTTGTATCTCCGTGGTGCTCACGCTCAAGTTTGGCAAATCGATTTATCAATCAGCAGGGGAGACGAAGAGTCGGTGTCCTAAAAGAGGGCAGGCAGCGCAGTATACGAGAGACACAAAGGTGCAGTGAAGAGAGGGGCAGGCACAGGAAAGGTCTGAGTGCCCGAGGGTGGGAAGGTCACATACAACAGAGTCGATGAAAAAAACTCGGAACAGAAGAGCCTTCGCTCACTCAGTCTCCCCAACCTGCCCCAGCGCTCTTCCGCTTGGGCTCCTCGCGGTTTAAAGCAGACAGGTTCTCTTCCCACCGTCTTTTTCAGATAGAGCTAAAGAATTCGCTTTAGCTCACGGAGCTGGTGCCGAAGCCAAGACTAACTCCCCAAGCCAAGTGACTCCGAAAATGTGTTCTGCCTGCGTACAAATCACACCGAGGATTAACCAAACGAGGGCACATGCAGCTCCTGGCACGACGCCGGGCACAGGAGTGGGGGCTCCCAACATTGCTGGTTTCATTAGCGTCCTTACACCGCGGGGCTCCGCCTGCCCCGGCCGCACGGAGAGGACGGTGGCCCTGATCTCCTAAGGAAAACGGGCCGTCTCCTAACCCTCCTCCTTCACCGGAGCCGGCGTCGGGAAGCAGCGAGGACACGGCCCTCTGGGAGGCCGGCCCGATTCAGGCTGCTGCGAGGGTGCGCAGCCATCTGAGTTACAGCGGCCGGCACGGGTACCCGGGAGACAAGAACAGGCTGCCAGATGCACAGGCGGGCAGGGCGGCAAAGGCCTGGCGTCCACCTGCACCGACCTCTAATCCCCCATAATCCTCCTCGGTAATCCCGTGGCCGAGAGGCAGGCGCAATGGCGGCGGCGGCGGCATCGCTGAACGCATCGAGAGAGAAAGCAACTGGCACTGAGGGCCTTGTGCCAGGCCCGGAGGCCAGGAGGGACTCCGGCAGTGATTATATAGCGGTAAATAAACATAGCTGATGGCTGCCCCGGGCCTCGGACCCTGCCAGGGCAGGGACCAGGGGAGATGGGGTTCTTGTGATGACAGTGGTGTAGACCCAGCCCTCATGGGTTCACTCCCATCTGTCCCCAGACTGAGCGCTCCAGAAACACCTGTTCCAGCAGACGTCATCTGGCAAGCCAAACAAAACGTGGACTCATCCGGGCCAGCTGTAAAGGCATTTAATGCCTAACAACCCTAACAACCTGTGCGAGGCTTGTAATTGTCATGATTAATTTGGCACCTCTTTACCGTTCGGCGCTAACCAAGTATCATCCTCTATCTAGGGAAAGCCCAGTTCCTGCTAACATGGTTTTTCCCTCCATAATGAAGGCTGTGAGAAATTGTATCATTTGAAAGCAAAACAAAACCTTAATAAGGTATTTTCCTCGCTAAGCTGTTCAAGTTGCTCTTCTTTTGGGCCCCCTCTACCCACTGTTGGTAGGGATGTCTCACTTTCTTTGGCTTATCCTGTTACTGCTTCCCTGTTGCATAATTGAGGTTATTATTTTCTCATTTTCCCCTCCACTGGCAGCCGTCTGGTCCCTTCTATGTAGTATTTCCTTAGGATGCCACACTGTTGTTCTAGCTTATTTAAACACTCTGGAAAGCCAGGAAATGTAGCCATTTTAGACACATCCCCACATCCCCCAGAAAAGTGTCCCTGCTGTCCTTCCATGTGCTACAGCAGGACCAGAATTTAGTAGGCGAACAACATACAGCCGAGTGCCACTGTAGCAAGCAAATAGTAAAACAATCTGGCTTCTGCTACTGGGAAAAAAAAAAAAAGGAAGGCATGTCTTATGAGAACAGATTCACTTTATGAGGGGAAACAGGGCAAAAACATTGAATAACAGTAGTGTCCCGTTTATCAGGCTCTCATCGAATCTCAGTATTAACAGCGAAGATCAAGGCCAGTCCCACTGGTTAGGGCTTCCCCATAGTAAAGGCTTTTGAAACAAAGAGTTTCTTATTCAGTTTCTGCATCTGTCACTCCCCAAAGATACAGGGATCCACAGCTTATCGCTAGAAGATAGGGAAGGAAAGTAACGACCGAAAACTTTACAATAAACTGATCAGCACTTTTATATCTGAAAAAGGGAAAAACAGGGATCTATTTACAGAAGTTCTCAAAAGTTTCTTTTGAGTTCTGATAGAGCACATCATCACTACAATCGAATTATTCATATGAAAACTAATCCGTGTTGGCTTCTCTGTAGTCAAGGAACAGAGCTTATAAAATGATTCATCTTGAGTATTATATAAACGCAGAACCACAATTTATCAATATTAACTTTAAAAATGTACTTGAGAATGACTGCCCCAACATTTTTTTTTAAAGGAGAATATTTTTCAAATTTTCAAAGAACAGATCACAAGGAATTCCACCAACTCTTCAGAATTTCTATAACTGTGAGGGAGAGACATATAGAACATCTATTTTACAAATATAAGTCAAGAAATCAGTCTGTATATTTATAAGCCAAGAGCTCATATGCAGAATTTCTCAAGAAATCCAAAGGCCAGATAGAATGCCAACCACGGCTTGACAGTGTCCTGTAGGTTGAACATAGTGATACCTCAGTTTTACAGAGGAAAGAAAGTACCAAAAGCCTTGCATAATTCACTTCTAGTGGAAAAAAGGTAAGGACACATTAATTTTTTATTTTTACTCATATTTTATTTTTATTCATATTTTATGAATATCACTTAGGTATGCAATTATTTTCTTATTAATTTTATTTTGTGCATTACAGAGGCAGTACTTTTAGGGTAAAGATAGATATTCGAATTCAACATGAATCACCTTAACTCCTAAAAACTGAACAAAGGAATTGTGTTAGGAATCTTTGGGGTATAAGTCATAAAAATCCAACTGAACTGCCTTAGGCAGAAAGAGATTTCTTCAGGAGGATATTAGAATATTCTCATGTATCCAGATGACAGCGAGCACTGGGATTTTATGCAGCTCAACCCCAAGGACAAGGAAGATAAGTTCTTTCCATGACTTTTGTGCACTCTGGGGCAGTTTCCACCTCCTCCACTGGAGCTGGCACTTTCTCACATGTTGGCCACCAGCAGCTTCCAAGCCCCTCATCACAAGGCTTCTACCAATCTCAAGGCTTCTACCAACAGGGAATACTCATCCACTCCCTTAGTCCTACTTCAAAAATTTGTAGAACAAGCTGATCAGTCTGTCTTGATCTGCGAGACTCTATCTAAGGGGAGGCAGGGCATCCCTATTGGAAGACTCTTCCCTAAGGGTATGGTTAGAGTCTAGGTAGAAGTAATTCCCAAATAAAAACTTGGGGCGGGGGAGAGACACTGAAAGCTAACTGGACAGACAAACCAAGAATAATCAAATAAAATAAAAACATGCACAGATTCTAAAAGTTCAGGTAATGCCAGCAAATTGAAGTAGCACAAGATAGAAGGCTAAAAACCAGCCTTAGGCCTTCTTCATTGCATTTTTTTCACTTGACTTTCCCAGCCAAAACTATGACTATATAACTTTAAAACTTGATAATACACCATTTTCTCTCTCCCTTCTCTTAAATGCTTTCTGTCACTTCCCAACAGCATCTAAGTTTTTGGCCTACAAACTGCCCCTAAAATCTTAGAGCATCCATAATGTTACCATCAGAATTGTTTTTGGAGTTGTCTGTGTTGTTTTTAGGGTTCAGATCTTCCAGTGTGCACTTCCTTATTCCAGATTCCCAACGTTATGTTCAGAGCTTTGAGATTCGGAAGCAATTTCCAGTTCATACTCCTTTTTCAGTCGTTGCATTTTCTTGTTTAAATCCAGTAAAGTTTTGGCCAGCTGGTGGTTTGGGAAATGCATTTCCAGCTAAACGTTAGAAAAAGAATAAGGATTTTTATTAGCCTGAGATAACAGATCAAATGAAACAGCTCTCTGCACAGGAAAAATAAGGACTTTGTGGGAAAAGAAAATAAGATATCAAAAAAGATGTATTTGTCATCTGATTCTCCATTTCTGACTGTTTGGCCTGGCCATAAAACTGACTTTCTATGAGACAAGGTAAAATCCAGATATACAAATCGCTTTTGAAATAGCCTTGAAATGAAAAGAAAAATAGCTGACGCACAAAGCTGTCCACACGAGAAGTTCCTGTGCATGGAAGGCTGTTGTCAAGCAATGGCATGTGATCTGCAATGCAATCATTTATCTTTCTGAGGTTTCTGAGCTACAGGAGAACTAACTGCCCAGGGCCACCTGAGCTTTCAAGATCTGGGCCCATTTACTTGATTACTTGTCATTTCAAGTTTTTAGGATTTTAGATGGTCTCCCTGTCGAGCAAAAACACTTAATGACACCTTAGAGGCACATGTACAGTTATATGTACTTATATAATCTAACAATTTCACTCTAGAGTGAAATCTGTTATACAGCAAGGCTGATTTATACCCTCCTTCAGTGGGGGTTTATGAAGGTCTTCATGTATTAAAAAATAAATCTCTAGGGCAGTTTACCTAAAAGACTGTCCAACAAAGCTTAATGCAACATAATCTTTGTTATGCAGTTGAGAATAATTAAATATTTGCAAATTTCTGTGATTAGGTCTTATTTAATACATGAGGACCCTGTTCTCTGCCTAAAACCCTTCATCACCTCATGAACAGAAACCACGCCAGGATGAACCAGGGTGTTCTGTGAGTGAAAAAGCAAATACTGGTCTTCCCCTCCCCCAGTTTACAAAGTAAAGTCATTGGATAAAATTTTCTTTCCGTTTTCCTCTGCCACATTTGTCTTCATTCTTCAGCACCTGGAACCACCTTTCTGAGAATAAGAATTTGCAAAGAATAAAGCAAATGAACATAGAGCAAATGAAGAGTAACAACACAACCACCAGCACAGAAAAGCCCCTGGCCCAGGCCTCCAGGGAGCTTCAGTCCTCCAGTGTGGCAAAGGTTCTCTATGTCCTGCCCTGCTCTTCTAGCTTCCTTTCCTGGCACTGTCTCCACACCATCCTTACTGCCAGCTGGTCAATTGTTCTTTATGCACGTTTTACATACAAATTTTTATCCCCATTTTACATATAATTTTAAGTAAATGGAACTCCTGAAATTCACTCACCGACCCTAGAAATGATTGCGTCCTATTAAGACCAGTCCTCACAACAAATAACAGCATAAATGACATAAATAGCAACATCTCTAGATTAACTGAATCTGTTCATCATTGTCCCTTACACGACGACGACCCTAACGCACGATACATGGACATACATGTGTGGTTGTGTGCAGATCCCTACCGAAGTCTGGTTACAGCCTTTTATCAGAAACTGCTTCTTCTAGCAGTCATGGTGTTAAGGTAAAGAAAGCCTCCACACTCTTCTGCCTCTTCCTCATGACCAGTCATACACCATGGTGAAAATGTTGACCAAGATGTTGACCATGGCCTATAGCCCAGGAACAGAGCATCAGTGTATGTGTGAAATTCCCTGACTCCATTCTGGAAAAAAAACTTTTGATTTTTTTTTTTTTTGGTACAGTCTTTAGGTAATTTTAATTATCCTCATAATAAAAGCCATTGAATAGTATCTATGCTGTAGGTTCTTTATATAATATTATCTCATGCAATCCTTACAGCAATCCTATGAGGTTATTATCTCTATTTTGTAGATGAGTAAACTGAATCCCAAAGTTACTCATTACCATTCCTAAAGTCATAGGGCCAGCAGGAATTAGAAGAGCATGTGTGTCTTAACAAGGGAATTTGAACCTTTATCTGTTGGGAATTTTGTTCTCCACCTGCTCCCCACCCTCACCGGCAACTTTCTATATGGTAGAAAAATACAGAACACGTTGGAGAGGGGGTCTTGGGTGTGTCACTAGTAGACTCCGCCCAGGGCAGGTGTCAGCACCCCGGGTCCTGCGAGCCCCCTCCCCTCCCAGATGGCGCTGGGGAAGTAGGCGCGTCAGCACCGTGTCGGGACACGAGCCGGCGAGCGGCCCCGGAGACCGACGGCCGGTGCTCTGCTCACTCTCATCTCTTCCTCCCCGGGAAAAACTCCCCGCGGCCTCGAAAGTCCTCGAATGGTACGCGGCACTGGAGCCCCAGGACTGGAGGAAGGCGACGCTGTGCCCGAGGGTCCGCCGCCGGCGCGCGCGCTCACCAGCTCCGCGCGCAGCCCGGCCAGGGCGGTCCCGACGTGCGCGGCGCCCGGCGGGTCTCGCGGCGCCTCGGCCTCCGCCTCCGGCCCCGCCTCCGCCCTAGGGCGCCCGGAGCTCCCGCGCGGCACGGTCCGCTGCCAGGCGTGGGCTTGCGGCCGCCTGAGGTCTTCCGGCCGCGGGCGGGCGGCGTGGGCCTCCTCCTGGCGGTTCACGCTCTTGCTGCCGCGCGCGGGACGGGGGCCGGGGGGCCACAGCCCGTCACTGCCTGGGTCTCCGGGGGGTCCGAGGGCAGTTGCCTGTCCGCGGCGGTGGGAGTCCTCGGGGCCCATCTCGGAGACGCCGGCTCCGGTTCCAGGCACGTACGCTGACCGTTGCCTTCCAAGTGCGAGAGTTAGAACGGCTGAGGGAGGGCGGGGTCGGGGAGCCGACAGAACCGGTGGGAGCCCTGCCAAGTGGGACGCCGCTGGGGCCCAGCCTCTCGGAAGGCGCTCCACTCCGCCCAGCCTCATCTCTGGCCTTCTTCTCATCCTTAGCAACAACAGAAGGAGGTGGCCCCCATGACTCCGAGAAGAGATTTGCCCTGGATCACTTTTCTTGCTCCTTGGACTGTCTTCCTAAGAGGAAGACTTGTGTCTATCCAGGTAGGTGAAGTTGAGGTACACTTGGAAAGTTTGAGACCAAAGGTAGAATATTTTGTCGCAAAGGCTGCCCCGGTTGCCTTGATTATTTAATACTCCGTTCCTTTAAGATATTTTTTTTCTGGCTTTCTTCTGTGTTAGGCACTGTGCCAGGCGTTGGGAATTTAGAGTCTAATTAGGCTCCTTACCTCTCTACAGGTGTTGCTCACAGTCAAGTAGCGGAAGCTTGTCTCTCTAAGCTAGAAAGAATAGTCGTTCCCCGTGCCCAACAGTGCGGAAAGCATTCTGATATTCAGAAACTCTGTGCTGCTTTTTTATATTTGACTCCTTTCTGCCACTTTCGCGTTTATGAAGGGGTTAAAAGTGAAAAATAAAAAATTCTCTTTTTTGTCTTATAAAAGCGTGTTGTCTTATAATTCCCAATTCAGTGTAATCATCTGCCACTATTATATATCCTCTTTCAGTAAGTATAATCAGCTGCAGCTTCTTGATCTAACGGAGAATTTCTAAAAAGGAATAAACAAAACTTTTGTGTTTTCATGAATACAATCCCCTACCCCCTCCAAAAGATGGCCTGGATGTACGCACAATACTCATATCTTAGTTACTCTTTGTTTAGTAAAGAACTACAAGTCCCCTGCAACATTCTAGGTCCATGACAGGCATTGAAGGCAATAAGGACTAATTTTTATCCGTGCCTACTATATTCCAGGTACTTCTCTTTCTTTCCTTTTTTAAAAGATTTATTTATTAGAAGAGAGAGCAAGAGTGGGGGAGGGGCATAGGGAGAAAGAGAGAAGTAGACTCCCCACTGAGCACAGAGCCTGTTGTGGGGCTCATCCTACAACCCTGAGATGACCTGAGCTGAAGTCAAGAGTCAGTCACTTAACTCATTGAGCCACCCAGGCACTCTGGCACTTTTCTTGTACTAACCCATTTGATCTTCACAACATTCCTGTGAGGTAAGTACTATTTATTTCTGCATTTTACAGATGAGGCCAGCTTAGGCAGAGGTTAAGCCATATGGCAAAGATCACAACACTGGTTAAGTGATCTAGTAAAGATGTGCACCTAGGAAGTCTGGTTTGTGCAATAAACCACAGGAACACACCTAGGTATACACTGCCTCCTCAAGAATCAAAAGTAGTGGGGCGCCTGGGTGGCTCAGTGGGTTAAAGCCTCTGCCTTCAGCTCAGGTTATGGTCTCAGGGTCCTGGGATCGAGCCCCGCATGGGGCTCTCTGCTCAGTGGGGAGCCTGCTTCCTCCTCTCTCTCTCTCTGCCTGTCTCTCTGCCTACTTGTGATCTCTACCTGTCA